TTTTTAAATGAATTGGCTGGTTAATATTATTTTTGCTTTAAATATTTATTAATCCAATTTCCACTTTATTAAGAGGTATTTAAATTTTATATCTTAAATAAATCGGATAGTTAGCCAATTCAAATTAACGAATTCAATCAGTAAAATACCTACCTAAGGAATTGGTCACTTTTTGTTATTGGAAAACTTTGTATCAATATACTCTAGCAATTTCACACATAAAAGAATACAAACTAAATTCAATAAGTATGGCAGGAAAATATGAAAAATTCTAAAATTCCTCTTGGTGCTTTGTGGGAATTTTCTAGTTGGGTCAGAATTTAATAAACGAAAACCTAAAATTTCCTCAGAGTAGGTTTTTGCTGCCCACACAGACAGACTAATCGACTTATCCTTAGGGAGTGTGTGTGTGTGTGTGTGTAAGTTTGACTGGCATCATTCAATTGCTTGACTTGGATCGAAAAATTGAATCCAATTGCATAAACATTTTTGTCCCTCGGGGAAGTTTTCAGTTTGAGTTTGAGGGCACTGGACGACAGACGTCTAATCAAATTGTAGGCAATGTGAGGTTTACGGGGGGAAGTGGACAGAGGGTTATTTTCTAAGCCGTTGAGCCCTCAAGTGGCCCAGCAATTCCAAGCCCATTCCGCCTCACTCTTACCCAATGAACTTTGGCCAATTGACTTTTGTTCTCCGCCGGGCAACTTAATATTCATGATTTATTTCCTTTTCTTATTTGAGCAACCCATCAAATGGTCTTTTCCCTCCTTATTACGTTTAATTTCGTTTTGACTGTGTAATAATAATTTAAATACATTTAATGCGATGTACTCAGACTGCCTCAGTCTTATGATTTTCCTTGGCCTCATAAAATAATTTGTCATTAATCATTTGTACGACCGGGAGTTGAGTGCTGTTTTTTTGTGGTTATAAGGATACTGAATATATATATAAGAATATATTCTTAATGCATTTTAAATCGCGAGCATTGACCAATTGTCAAGCGGCGAATTAATGAACATCTCTGTGATTTATGAATATCCTGGGCTGACATTTAAGGATTTTTTTTGAGCGGTGGCCTATTTGGCTTTCATTTTGACTCGCATTAATCAAAAGTGAAAAAATATTTTATTTTTTTTCAAATAAAAGTGTGATATTCTTGCCATTATCTGCCTTTTCAATTTATTATGAGGTTTGTTAACATTGTTCATCTTCTTACATTTATCAAATATTTGTAGTATTATTTAGCACTCCTTTTCATTTCATGAAATCACGAAATATTTCCTGAGAAACACTTAGGAATCTCAGCACAAAGCTCAAAATTATAATTGCATCTTTTTGTGGGAAAACCTCAGGCAAATAAAACGGAAACAAATAGCTAGCATTTTTTGGTAGCTTGGTGGCAGCATCTTTAAAATACTGAATTTCCCAAATGCCACAATCCGAAGTACGCAATAAAACTAAATGAGCGTGTATCTAAGAAGTGGAGTGGGCGTAAAAAGCACACTTTGGTATTCTTGCAAATCCTGAGCAAATAAACTAAGGATGCCAACAAAGCAAATATTAACAATGCCAATAAAACGGAGCAGCACTCGGTGGAGCGAGCGAGAACGAGTGAGTAATCCTCGAAATAAGTAATCATTATGACCATCAGTAAACAATGTATGCCGGCCTCAGAGAGCTATGTAAAAAATGCAATGGGACTATCAAAATAACAATAACACCAAGGACAACTCGGCTGAGATATGGTCATGACCACAACCCCCTAATTCTCTGTATTTGTCCGGAAAACTATGTCCGGACATTAGTGTGCGTGACCAAAGGATATTTGGGTCCGTTACTAAAGATGGCATCGTGATGGGATTGTGGTAAAGGCTAAATTTCAAGATAAATATTTATCATAATTGGAAGAGATTAGTTCAAGCTACAGCAAAGCCTTTTGTTAGTAAGCTGAAGTGGTTTTATAGTATCTCATGATTCAAAAAATATGTACACAGGAAAGGCAGACTGTTTTCTTTTCCTTTCTTTACTTTTTTTTAGAAAAATTGTGAAAGTTTTAAGTTCAAAAATTTAAAAAATATTTTTATTTTTATCAAATAGGCAAACCTTTTTAAAAATTGTTCTTTACCATTAATGATAATTTCTGATAATTTAAAGTTTCCTGATTTAGTAAATCTAATCCCTAATCCAAATCCTTGTCACATCACCAATTCTACATGCCCAATTCCAAGCAAACAAACATTCGGACATTCACAAGACAAGGATAATCACAGGCAGATTTAATGGCATTTTTATGTCGGCCTAAAGGATTTTTAATTGCTGATGTGGGCTTGTGGGTGGACAGGTGAATTACAAATTAGACGAGAATTAACACCAACTCCCGGCGGAGAGCGACAAGTTGGGAAATTGATGATGGCCCCGGGCATACATCCCAGGTCGAGTTAATTACTTTCGTGTCCTCAAGTCGGGGATTTCTGATTTAATTCATGATTGTCCAGGTGAAAGCCGATTTTCTCGGGCCTTTCATGTGTTAGCTAGGTTAATTCTATGCATTCTTCGGTGTCTCTGGTGCTGCAGATGTAATTATGACCGACATTTGTGTTCGCCTGGTGGCTGGCAGACATACATAAATCATTGCTGTGGCTGATCCTCAAACATCTGCATAATTACACTTTCAGTTCGTGTTGCAGCAGTGCCATGAGTTCAGTTCTCCTTGCCATTTTATTAAACACCACTCTGGCTTGCCAACACGCCACATTCATATGCCATAGCCCGCTGCTCTTGCATTTCCACTTTTCCGATTTTCCGGCTGCGGCAGCTGCAGACAGCCAACTATTAAAGCGCACTTCAGAACAAAACCGCCGGCGGTCTGTCTGACTATCCTTCTGCATCCTGCGGAGTGCTTAAAATTTCAGCTACGTGCGCGATCTACGTGCAAACCACACCTGGCCCCAAAAAGGGGGTCAGAAGCGAGAGACAATGAGAGGCCAAGAGGAACACAGAGAATCCAATGTAATTTAATGTTTTATTTCTACACATTTGGCCGCCTTGGCGAATACGTTATACGTTATACGTTGCCCGACACACGTTGCACAGCACGCGATGCCAACGTGACGTTTTCGCGTAACCAGGTAACGAGCTCTTTTATTCTAAATAGAGCTGGCAGGGTGATCATGGGTATATATCATCTGGTTCAGATTTAAATCCAAAAAAATAATTTAAAAAAGATTTAAAAGTTTTGCATTTGTATTAAGGAAAAGTAAAACTTATCGACAACCACTTACAAGAATTGACAAAAAAAACATTATTATGAATTATTTTATAAGTTTATATTTATAGCTTAAAAGTAACATCTAAATATTTAAATTTCTAATATAAAAAACATAGAATTTATTTATTTTATAATTAAAATATAAAATTCAAAATTTATTATTTTATAATGACTACTAATATGTTATTTACAATCGCCAATGTAAGATTATAAATTTAATTAAATTTAAAACTTGCCAGCTTAGGGCTATAAAACCATAAAAATTGATAAGGTTAATGTGTGCAGTTTTTGAATTTTTTTATTTTATTTTTGCTATCAAACTCATTTTACGCATTCATCTCTAGTCCGGTTAGAAAGTTTCGGCCAAGTGAGGTTGGAGGCCAGAGGCCAAGTTAAAGTTTTGTACTCGTCGCCTTCATCAAGTGTTTCTACACGCCCTGCGCAATTACGGTAATTAGTGTTACGTTGCCATTGCTTTTTGGCCCGTTGGCTGTTGTTGTTGCCACATATTGTTGCTTTGGCTTAATTTTTTTGTTCACATGCAAAGCCGCTTTCATGTTTGCCGTGGGGGAGCAACAAACATCGAAAAGCCAAAACGCCAACGCAATCAGACATTTCGTTTTATTTCATTTCATTTGATATTATTTCACTTATTTTTCCGGTCGTCGCGTGTTTCCATATATCTGTTGCTGCTTTATTTACTGATGTTGATTCAAGTCGCGACATCCACATCAAATCAGAGTCAAAATGCAAAGCAGGGCACAAGGGTTGCGTTCCGATTGGGTCCTCATCGTGTTGTTTAAATTTGCAAAAATCAAATACTTTGACTACGAATTGGAATATTTAATTAGTTGATTTATTGGCGGATTGCATGTGTTGTTGTTTTTGGTTTGTCCTTGTTATTCCCTCGCGGCGAAATTGTTATTCGCGTTTTTCCCAAGAATTTCTTTGATTGCCACGAGTGAATTCTTATTTAATGTGTACACGTGTATGCCGCATGAACAAGTGGCTTTAATTTGCTAGATTGGTTGTTTTTCTCGTCTTAAGAACTTCTGTAGGTAACCACATTTTATTTAAGTTCCTCAATTAACTTTATAGGGGAATGTAATTGCTACCAATTATCTTGCAACATTTAAAATCTCTCCCAGCGCTTATTACTCCAGTCCTTACAGTCGGATTTATATTTAGCCACAAGGACCGTGGAGCAGATGTAGATGTGGTTATGTTGTTGCTGCACACAGATCTAGTCAGTTGTAATCGCAGTTGTTGCCTTTGTTGCTGCAGCTGTTTATGCATATTTAACACCCTTGAGCTATTATTGCGCGATTAAGTGGAAGAATTTAGCCAAGCTACGCATTGTCGTTGCAGCTGGAGTTGTCGGGGTCGTTGCGCACCAAAGTATGCTATATTAAATAATACAGTGGGCGAAAAAGAGGGAAAATATGTCCAAATATGTCCAAATGGGCCTTTTGGGATTTGGCTTGCTTTATTTTTTATTAATTAAAATTAATAAACTTCAATATTTATCTTGTTTACTGCTTTTTTGTGGTAGCTGGTCCAGGTTGTAAATATAAAATTAATATACATAAATTATATTTATTGCTTTGACTAAAAATTGGATTAACTTAAATTATAATCGAGCTTATGTTTTAAAAAATCCAAAAAAACTATAAATATCATAAAATAAATATGTATAAAAGAGAAAAAGAAATCGAGTTACCTAAAGAAATATTTTTAGAAAAATTAAACTTTAATGGATGACATTACACTTTATACTTTACAAATGTTGAGTATTTTATGGGCCTCGCGGCGTTCCAAGGAGGCTATCCTTATTTAGAAATCAATACCTTCAGTCCATCGACGGAGAAACCTCCCATCAAATGGTAAATCTCTGGATCGCAAACTCCCAATTTAAGACTTTTCGTCGGAGCAACACATAGATAAAAGGTATTTCGATCCCCATCTATCACAACTCTGAGAAGGCCTTTGAACTATGTCCTGTGCCAAGTGAAGACGGAGTGTGCGACCAGGAGGTAGACCATGGCTAGAGAAATGGTGACCAGCATCATGGGGAATCCGTAGATGAAGAACTGAATGAAGGAGATCTTATAGCCATACTGGTGGGCTATCGCAGCTGCGACCACATTGGCCGATGCCCCGATCAGGGTGCCATTACCGCCGAAGCATGCGCCGTAGGATAAGGCCCATATCAGGGGCGATAGCGGCATCCTGATCGCCTCGTTGCGGTGCAGTGCGATGTTCAGCCGCAGGATCATCGTCGTCACTGGGACATTGCCGACGAAGGCCGCTAAAATGGCGGTCATCCAGAGGATTATAAGTATGCCCACCGTCGTCTGGTGTTGCTCCCCAACGCTCATGATCAACTTGACCGTACATTCGCCCAGCCAATGGATGAAACCCAACTGATCCACCGCCTCGGTGAGCACAAATAGTGCGGCCAAGAACAGCAGGGCCGACCATTCGACCTGGTCGAGTATCGTCTCGATGTCGTTCATCTTGGCCAGGATCAGGAGCAGGAAGGCAGCCAGCACGGCCACCCAGCCCAAGGTGGCGCCGGGCATGAAGGGCATTGAGTGCATCAGGAAGCAGATGATCGCAAAAGCCATGGTGAGAATGCACTTGATCAGCAGGGTCTTGTCCCGAATCCGATGATGTGCCTCCAACTGGGCCAGGATCTCGAAATAGTTCTCCGAGGGCCTTACGCACGGCCGCGCCGACTGACGTTCCCTCATTTGGGCGACTCGAAGCGAAATATCCGCACTTAGCCGAGGCCTATTAGCATCCCTTTCCGCCGTTAGCTGAATTTGTTGATCCCCCAGTTTGAACAGGGATTTCCTCATAGTCAGATAGTTTACACCGAAACCGGCAAACACCGCTAACAAAACTCCGGGCAGCATGTGCACGGTGAAGGTGGCAAAGTCTATGCCATTCTCCTCGACCACTGGATTGGTGGCAATGATCACATTGGGCGGATCGCCCACCGGAGTGAGGGTGCCACCGAGATTCGAATAGAGGACCACAGCGATCAGGACGAGCGGTGTCTGCACCCCAATGGCCTCGCACAATCGAATGGCGATGGGTGCCATGAGGAGCAGCATGGTCACGTTATCCAGGATGCAGGACATGAGGGCGGTTATCGAGCTCAGTAAAATAAGCAGCGGCCAGGGATGACCCTTCGAGATCCTATAGGCCAACACGGCCATCCAGTCAAAGATTCCGGTCTCGGACATTATGGCCACCATTATCATCATCCCGAGTAGCAGCATCAGGGTCTCAAAGTCCACCCAGGATATGATTTTTTGGAGGGTCGGTCGATTCCCCAGGGCCGTGAGAATAGCTATGCCGGTGGTGGCCATCAGGAGGGCGGCGAATGTGCGATCCGTCAGCTCGAAGACAATCAGGATGTACAGACCAATTAGCAGGAGGGAGGCGTAGATCACTCCATGATTGGTTACCAGGGGACAGACGGATACCACCATGAGCAGCGACACTGGACGATCGTTCTTACCCTCCAGCGAAATCATGCTCTTGGCATTACTCATTTTCGTGCGAGAGACGTGCAAGGTGTTGGTGGTTCCCACGAAACTATCATCATCGTTCTTCAGCAGATAGATATTCCACATGTCGGACCGTTCCAATATCTTATTCTGGCCCGAATCCCGCCACTCCAACCGCACACCCACAAGGGGCTGATCCTCGCTTTTGGAATGCCGGTCAAAAGGACCCCACATACTTATCCTGACGGCATCATTCGGAAGTGACACTATGCGTAGCAAAGTTTCATTGGGCAATATGGTGACCACCGAGCTTTCATCGGGTGTGGTTGCAATCCGGACCAGAATATACGTAAAGAAGCCCCACAACAGCAGCAGAAGAGCAATCTTAATGAGCTTAAACACAAATCGCCAAAGAGAGAATTCCTCCGGCTCATCCAAGTAATTCGGCTCAAGTTGGTTAGGCATCCGTAATCTACGGGGAATACTTGATCCGTACGACGATGGCCATGCCTGGGAAACTGCGTCTAAATTTGCTACACGAAAAAAAACACTCACGAATTTCATTTGATAGATAAATCAAAGCAAAGCTATTAAAACATAAGGTTTTAAGAAAAGTCAACAAAAGTTTACTGATTTAAAAGGGTTTTGAGATCCTCAATAATCAAAGAGTTTAGAAATAGTGAAAATAGATAGTCTTTCCTACCATGTAAATCTAGAAGAGATCTTGGCTAAGCTTAGGGAAACTAAATGATCCAATTTCGTATTCATAATTAAAACCTTACTTGTTATTTTTTATGTAGTTTTAATTACAACTTTTCCACAGTACATTGTGCTGGTAGGACGTGCTTTGAGCAGAAGTTAAGTGCCGCTTGAGCCTTTTTAAATATAGAGAAACCCCCTATACGGGTGCACAAGTACCCTTGCATAACTGCAGCCATAATACGCACCATTGCCAAGCGGCTGGGCCCCCTGCATCCTTCGTCCTTCGTCCTTCCTCCACCTCCACCTCCCCAAAGGACCATTGTCAACTGACAATGCCGCTGGCAGATGTGTTGATAGTTTCAAGGAGTGTTGAGAGGACAAGGAGGAGTTCCACCAAGGGATCGGGATGGGTTTTGCTTGGGCTGTTGCCAGTTGAATGCAAATATTAATAGCGCAAATTTTCTGCCGCACAACAAGGCTGAGAATATGTGCCAGGGCCAAAAGGAGTGTGTATGTGTGTGTGTGTCCTCTGGGTTGTTTTACAATTTTAAATGCATGAAACGCATAAATTACCCCAACTGACTTTCAGTGTATTTGTTTCGCTTTGCTCTCGTTTTGCATACAAATCAAATTTATTTGCCATTTTGTTTACATTCACTCTTACACTAGCCTCGCATTGGTCTGTTTGTGTTTTTAATTTGAGTGCAGCAAACAACTTTCAATTGATTTTGTTTTTTTTTTTTTTTATTTTTTGATACACATGCATCGTGAGGAGGGCCAATATTTGCTTTATCTCCAGCGAATGGGTGTTTGGGAGCAGGAGTGAAAACTCTATTAAATTGATTCGTGTTTTAATGGAATCGGGACTCGGCGAGTGGGGCATGTTGTCTTAGCCATTAATTGAAAACTGCTGATTGAATAATGAATGCATGGACAGATTCAGCTTAATGTAAATAAACAATGTGACTAAAAACAATAACCACATCAATTACACGTTTTTTATTTCACAATCCTAAACACTTTAAACCTGCTTTAATCATAGCAAATAAAAGCATTTTGATTTCGTAATTCAATTATGTCCACTCACACTATCCCGCATTTCCCACTCCATTTTATTTTCATTCCTTTGAGCTGGGAACGGGGAAAATGAGCTTTATTAAAAGAGACCGAGCTGGTCAAGTGCAGAATAATGAAAATGCTTAATAAGGCGTTGGCGACGAACAAATGTTGGCTTCTCCATAAAGTTTAATTAGAGAGACAGGCGGTTGACAGAGCCAGCATTTGGAAATGAAATGCAATGCCCACGGAGTCAATGCTAGACTTTATTAAAATTTTACCATGGAACCAAGTTGCATATGTTGTCAAAGAAATATTTGAAGCCAGTCAGAAGGGTCGCTTAAAAATTTATTAGAAATTTTTAATTAAAAAGCTAGGAAGGAATGAAATGTTATGAGCAAATAAGCTTCTCATTCAAACATATATATATAATTTGCTAATGCCAAATTGCTAGCATACCAAATAGTTGAGTTTTTATTATGTGCAACTAAATTTATTGTATGTGTGGGCCTGAATAATTTTTGTTGAGTGTAATTGATTACCCGCCTCATTTCATTTCAGTCCAGAGAAACGCAATCAAATGGAAAACCGGAGCCACACCTTGACTTGACCTATGGTGCGGTGGTCTGATTAAATTTCGGCTTCCCAATGCTATAATTATGACACCTCAACACACTCACACCCCCACATACACACGCTACTATTTTAGGGTGGACCTCATTAACAGAGAAAATGAAATCTAAATGTATATTTAAAAAGAAATGTGTACCACTAGTCGTATGAGTAATATAATAAAATTCGTAATAAGATTTTTTTAATATTAGGTTCAAATAATTGTTGGAGCCTTTAAAGGTCCACTCTACGGCACACACTCAAAGGACTTTGGCTAAGCTGAGTTAAGCAAGCTAAGTACTGGGTGGGGTCCTTTGAAATATTGCACAATCAGCGCATTAAATAATTAAGTGCTTAATTAAATAGGGAGCAGGAAGCAAAACGCAGCGATCCAGAGGTAAGCAAGTAATTTTTCCATTGTATTACATTTTGGTGGTCAGTCTATGCATACAAATCGTAAAGATTGGCTGTGTTGGATGTGAAGGAAAGAGTTATTTGTCTTCATTTATCCATGCCCATCACGTGCTACGCCAAAATTCGTAATGAAAACTAAATGAGAGCAAAGACCACAGAGTTTGACTTGGTCTGTTGCATGCTGGGCATAATTAACTATTCGATTACGAAGGCAATTGTTGCAATTACTTTTTACCGAGTTGATTGCGTTATTAAGGGCAAAGGGAATTAAGTGATGTCTATGTGGGTTAAGCGAAATGGATTTTCAATTGTAAAATGATGCTTTTTTGAACTTGTTCTTGAACAATAAAGTTACATTTTCTGATAAAAGTAAGCTCTTTAAGGAACAAAATTCATATGTACATTGTACAAATTATAAAAATAAAGCTTTAGTTATCTTTAACTTACTTACCAATTAGATGGTTTTTTTTTTAGAATAATTATAGTCAAGATTAATATAAAACTGAAAATATAATAATATATAAGGCATACTTCAATGCTATTACTATCAAGTTTTAAACAAACATATGCTATAAAAATCTATTTTTCATGTTTTTTTTAATATGTCCATAGCGTAATACTAATACCTAAAAATAGAGTATTATTATTTTATTTTGTTTAAAAATTAAAGTTAGAAACGATTATTAAATACGATTTAGTTCTCTTTCATGCAAGCAACTTTCCCAAATCCCTTTAATATTAAATCACCCAAGTTTGCTGAAAATAAAAATAGAGATTCCTTATGAATCCATTAACAATCATTAGCTAAAGAACACTCCCATTGCGAATAACTTTGGCAAGCCTTTAGCACATTTACTTCAATTAGTGAGAAGCCTGTATCGCGCTCGCTCTGTCTCCCTCCCTCGCCGGCTCCGTCTCTCTCCCACCCGCCCAGTGGGCTTAGACCAGCAGACATCCTAAAACAAGGCCCTTTAGATACTGTTATGTATGTTGTGTAATTACACAAATGCATTTATGTTTCATACTAAACAAGATACAATGTGCAGACGTTTTGTATTTGTGTAGCCATTCAGTCGCAAAACAAAGCATCAAATGCATGTGCGAGATAGGGGAAAGGAGAAAGTAGAAAGCAGAGAGGGGGGGGTCGGGTTTTGGGTAGGTGGGAAAAGTAAAAGTAGAAAAGTAAATGCATACTATATATGTGGAAAAATTGCAAGCAAATATGTGTATGTGCCAGCATTTCAGCAGTTTAAGAGCTATTCAAGCAGGATGTTGTTTCAAAGTGGACTTATTAGTACCTCATCAGCTTATAAATATCTTTAGTTTTTTATGTAAATATTTAATAATTTAATATTAAGATTAATATAATTTAATTATTTATTCATGCATTTATCATTTTAATTAGGTCAATCAAAATAGATAAAATTATCTCAAATTAAACAACATTTGAACACCTAAAAACTTACAACATTTTTGAACTCTATATTTTTATATAAATAAGGTAGGTATGACTTATCATTGATTTGAATCTTATTGCCGTTTACTCTGTCTGAAAAGCTCTATCTAGTTTTATTTAGATATAAACCAAATTGTACATTTTGAGATCCCAGTATACTCTTTTTTCTGATTAAATGAATGGGTAGCCGGCATACAAACATAATCAGTGGCATTTCATTTGGCTGCATCAGCACAAAGCGAGTCCCAGCTCAGACTTAATTAAAATTTCATTGTGTGGCCCGCTTTGGCTGTTTCTGCTATTCCTCGTTGTTGCGTATTTTTGTGTTCATTCGCCTTGTGTCTAAATCCCATTCAGATTTCACCCTTCGTTTGCCGGGGCTATTGTTTTGGCAGAAATGCGTTTTAACATGCCCCATGGCATTCGTAATTCTGTACGCGTGCGATATTGTTGAGGAGCACACTTGAGACGGCGTTGACAAAAGTCAAGCTGTTAACCTTGCCAAGAGGAGTCCACATTTGTGCATTTAGAAACTCAGACTTTCGCTCTCTACATCCAATTGTCTTTTGTGCGGTAATTAGCAGCAGCAGCAGCAACTGCAGGAAAGTGGGCTACAACAATTTGCATGGCCAAAAGAGAGAAGAGTTGGAGGAATACCAGCTGGTAATGGCCGTTTTTCGAGGCTAGACGAAACGACTTGGGCCACTAATTTGCCAAATTGCTCAAATAATTGGCCAGCATGATGTGTTTCATTTTAAATTAAACGTCACCGCCACCAAGCCAACATAGAACCGCAGTATTCCAACCACTAGGCAACTGCAATTGGCAGCAGTTTTGCGTGCCCATCCATTTTTTGGTTTTTGCATACTTTGGCCTAAAAAGAGTCCTTTGACAATTTGATGGAATTAGGTACGAGTGGGATAACGTTTTAATTTAATGACAGTATTAATAAAAATATATTTTATTTAGAAGAACTTTTATTATTTTTGTTGTGGTTATAAAAAAAATATTTGTATATTTATAATTGTTAAGCATTTATTTTAGTTTGTTCATTAAACCAACTTAAAATTTTAAACACATCTGTATAGCTGGAAACCATTTTTATATTCCTCCTTTAGCTATTAATTTAAATTACCAATACGTCTTATAATTAACTCACTCTGCCATAAAGTTAAATAAACGAAGAGCCCTACTCTACCAAAGAGTGTTCATAGTTTTAGTACATTTTTAAGGGAAAAAAATTTCGTTTTTCCGTTTATTTTTTTCAACTCGTTTTACTGCTTTGTGGCTCACTTTTTGCCGGGTATTTTACCCCTTTACTTTGCTTGCACACATA